CACATTGAAAACCCTATGGGGGCAGTTCTACCTTGTACTATAGGATTGTTATGAGATGGAAGTGACTCAATGGCAGGTTTGGTTTGTTTTTATTAAAGCATCCCCGCCTAGGAGACCCTATGGGTTTGGCTCTGCCACTGTGAGTCAAAATTGACTCAAAGGCACACAACAATAAGGTATCTCTGGGTAGTGCCTACAGTTAACATGCTTGGCTGCTGACGAAAAAGGTGGAGGGTTAAGTCCACCACAGGCACCTCAGAAGAAAGGCCTGGCAATCTATTTCTGAAAAATCAGCCACTAGAAACGCTATGGAGCACAAAGACTCAAAAAAAACACACTCACTGCCATGGAGTCGGATACGATTCATAGCGACTCCTCCTTGGGTTTCTGAGGTGGTATCATTACAGAAGTAGATCACCCTGATCTACTTCCTTCCTTCCGAGGAGTGGCTGGTGGGTTTGAACCACCAGCATTCTGGTTAGCAGTCAAATGCCTAAGGCACTACGCCACCTCTAATACACAAGGGGTCACTATGATTCACTGCTTTTTTTGTTTTTAGGGCATACTAAGAAGCAATGTTCTAAGCACTTGCCAAGGATTCACTTCTTTATTCCTCGTATTACCACTTTTTGCTAGAGATGATTATTATTATCCCCATTGTCCACGTAGGGAAACTGAGGCATACAGAGGAGAAATAACTCACTTAAACAGTACAGCTGGTAAGCCATAGAGTCAAGATTTGTAAACTCACACTATACTGCATATTTAAAAGGAGCTCTGGTGGTGTAGTGGCTAACAGATTTGGCTGATAACCAAAGGTGGGTGGTTCAAACCCACCAGGTGGTCCGCTTCTGTAAAAATTTACAACTTTGGAAACTTAATATGGGTCACTCTGAACTGGAATCGACTCAATGGCAGTGGGTTTGGTGGATGGTTTGTACACTACTTATTTACTATTCTTTACTTTTTCACATTTTCTGGTTTTTCACTCTGGGCATGCATCAGATTAATATATAAATGTTTTTTCAAAAATTTATTCACCCAGAGAGACCTAGACTCATTTTTCCCAACCTTCATTCAAATATCAGCCACAAAACAGCCCCTTCTGCAAAAGCCTGTGAACTCAGCCCCTATTTTCCATGTAAATAATGGACTTCCCCTTTTCTCAAGCCACAGCATCTGCATGAGTGGGCCTGATAAGTCTGCAGAACTCCACCATTTCCATGTTCTGGTTTTCCTGGACAGGAAAATTTCCTGGGGCTTGGAAGCAGGCTTGTTGTTGTTGTTGTTATGTGCCGTCGAGTCAGACCCGACTCATAGTGACCCCTCCTTGGGTTTCGGAGGCAGTATCACTACAGAAGCAGATTGCCCATCTTCCTTCCGAGGAGCGGCTAGTGGGTTTGAACCACCAGCCTTCTGGTTAGCAGTCAAGTGCCTTAGCCACTATGCTAACAGAGCTCCCTGGGAGCAGGCAGTCTTAGTTAATTAGTGCTGCTGTAACAGAAATACCACAAGCGGGAGGTTTTAAACAACAAATTTATTTTCTCACAGTTTAGAAGGCTAGCGGTCTGAAATCAGGGTGCAGACTCTAGGGGCAGGCTTTCTGTCAGCTCTGGAGGAAGGTCCCTGTCTGAGTTTCTGCTCCTGGGTGATCCTCTGGTGACTTATCATCACTGTCCCCCATCTCTGTCTGCTTCCTTTGCTTGTTTAATCTCCTTTATATTGCAAAAGAGATTAACTCAAAATACACCCTACACTAATCCTGCCTCATTAACATAGCAGAGACAACCCATTCCCAAATTGGATTATAACAGCAGGGATACAGGTCAGGATTTACCACATTACTGGAGGACAAATCCATAGCACATGCACTCTGTGGGCCAGTCACCTGGATTTTTAATTTTTTCTTACTGTGACAGGTATGTAGCAACAGAACATTGGCCATTTCTACAATCTTCACATGTGCAGTTCAGGGGCATTAATTACATTCAATCATCACCATCAACCATTCTCGAATTTTTCCAACATCCTTAACAGAGAGAGAGAGGTTCAGAGGCCCCCAAGCCCTGCGTCTTCTTTACCCCTCTCTCCTTGCCACCTCTGGTAACTACAAATAAAACTCGCATCTCTGTTCACTTGGCTATTCCAGTTATGTTATATACTATTTGCCCTTCTGTGGCAGACTCATTTCACTCAGCTTAACGCTTTCAAGGTCACCTTAATTTTTAAACACATGACTTGAGTCACAAGAGGAGCCAGGTATGAGGGGGCTGGTAAACTCCACAGCCCAATCCCATCCCCACAACAGCAAAGTAAAAGTGGGCCCAAAGATCTGCAACTCAAAACATTAACTTCACCTTTGGAAGGAATAATAATGACCACGTTTAACTCTGTGCAGGGCATAGGCTAAGCCCCTTACACAGACAGGTTAACTCATTTACTCTTTATAACCCCAGGAGATTGAGACTTTTATGACTCTTGCCCCCACATAAAGGAGCTCTGGTGGCATTTGACTGCTAATCAGAAGGCTGGCAGTTCAAACCCATGAGCCACTCCACAGAAGGAAGACAGGGCAATCTACTTCTGTGAAGATTTACCACCTCATAAATCCAATGAGGGTCACTATGAGTCAGAAACGACTCAATGGCAGTGAGTTTGGTTTGGGTTTAGCCCACATTTTACGGATGAGGAAAACTGAGGCACAGAGTCAAGGTGCTTGCCCAACATCATACCTGTATCTAACCAGCCAGAATGCCAGTTTTTCCCATACTAAAGTATACTGCCCTAGGCAACATGGCCGCTTTCTGCGTTCTATCACATGTGGGTTCTCCTCCCACCTGAGAGTTCTCATGCTGCCCGCTCTTTAACTCCAGGGCACCCCAGAAACTGGGGCATCAAGCAAGTCTAGGAATCCAGAAGGAAGACAGGCGAAGCGAAGTCTGTAAGGCCAAAAACTGGGTCTGCTGGTGGGAAAAGCCACCGCTGTCCCAAAACAAAACCTCAATACTCAGCAATTTCTGCAGCAGAAAGGGGCGCAATAAATTTGGTTTAGTTTCTTAAGCCCAATAAACACCTAAAACACATTTGTCTTTGGAAAACATCAGCCATCAAATAAATATATCCTGATGCAGAATCTATCTTTTTTTTCCCCTTAATTTAGGAGAGGAAAACAGGAAATAATCCAGGACTCACATCAACACAGGCCCAGATGCCCATCTGGGTCCTTGGAGAAATAACTCTGTGATTTGCCCCTTTGCTCAGGGCAGGGCCCTTTTACACAATTTCACGGGTTAACTAATTTACTCTGCACAAAGGACCTAGGGAGTGGGGCTTTTTTGAAAACTGAGGCACAGAGAGGTTAAGTGGCTTGAGCAAAGTCACACACTTACCTTACTGGCTGGGAGGCCAGCCTTTCCCAGCCTTAAGTCTTAATTACAACTGAATGCCTAAGGCATCCGGTTGCTACCAGAAGGCTGGTGGTTCAAATCCACCAGCCACTCCTCAGAAGGAAGGCTGGGCAATCTACTTGCGTATATCGCCTCAGAAACCCAAGGACGGGTCACTAAGAGTCAGATCCGACTCCACGGCAGTGAGTTTGGTTTGGTTTTTGGAGGAACAGAGAGGTCAATCTACAGGTTTCACTGTCAATAAAGTCCAACTTTGCAAAAGGTCAGCTCACCATGCACTCCTAGACCTTGCATGCCAAGTACATGTTGGAGTAAATCTCCAACAGCACTGGCCTGCAAATGTTGAACAGCAAGGTGGTTAGTTTTTCTACCAAAATGATATCCCCAAAAAGATATCCTTCCAGTGGGGCCCCAAAATGCAGCCTTCACAAAAAGGATCACCAAACAGAACAAGGCACTATTTTCAGATGCTAAGCACCAGTTCCTAGGGTATTTCTCTCTCCTGATTCCTTAACAAAAGATGAAAAACTATCATATCCAGATTTGCTTAGTGTGCCTACCAGTAATCAAGACTGCGTAACACAGAAGTGCCCTACCCTGAACAAAGAGACAAATCGCATTACATGGTCGCTAAAATCCAAAGCAGTGGGGATTAAACCACAGAAAAACGTCTCTGTAGATGCAGCCAAGAACACACAGCATAACACATGTGGAAGAAAACCTGCTGGGGTTAAAAACCATAGGAGGCCCACATTACAGGAGTAGGGTGGACATACTCCCACAAGTACCAGGGCCCTGGGGTATCCTCAGTTGCACCCCAAACCTGATCCTGAGGATGGCCCAGGTCAGGGGTGACACGCAGCCACTTCTCTCTTCCCCCTCCCCCCAAAAAAAACTTCCCTGGAGCATTTAGGCAGGAAAAAACCAAAAAGGTGACTATATATATATATTTATATATAAAATGTAACCTGTAACCACAGCAGAGTAATACAGCTGAAAACACCTGCACAGGGTGTAAACCCCAATCCAATCAGTGGGAAGCCCCTTTTGTCTGCTCAAGCCTCCCCCAGCTCACCCCTTTGGTAAAGGGTTCTCTTTGAGAAAAAGAGGGACCCCAATCCATAAAGATGGGACAACTGAGGCCCTCTTTACTGTCTTTACTGTTTACTGTCCTCCAGCTCTGCAATCCACTTCCCTGAGAGATTATTTTTAACTGAGGGAAGGAACCCCAAAGCAAGAAGGGCCCCTTTTTGGCCCCCTAGCCGATAATTTAGTCCCTCACTCACCTCCAAAGCTCCAGGGCTGGGGTCATGCCTCCCCCACCCCACGACCTGCTTCCCTGAACAGTCACACAAGTTTCCCCATCAGCTCTACGACCAAAGGAGCCCAGGCAACGGCGGGGCGGAGGCGGGGCAGGGTGGGAAGAAGGACCCGCAGGACCCCCAGGCCCGCGGCAGAGCGGGGAAGGTGGGCTCCGGGTCCTCGACGGGGGCCCAAGTGCTGCGGGCCCAGCCCGCCTTACCCAGCGCTCCCTTGCGGTGCCTTCCTCCCACCCGGCGGCCCCACGTGGCCCCAGCGGCCGCGAGCACGTACCCAGAAAGGGTCGGAGCCATCGGCACGGCAGAAGCCCCGGAGCGCCATGCGGCCGACGAGGGCGGCGGGCACCGGCGGCGGGTACTGGGCGGCGGACGGGCCCGGCTGTGGCGACGCCGGCGGCAGCAGGAGGGGCCAGAGGCGGCGGCGGAGGAGCTGGAGCCGCAACGCCGCCTGGTTGGCCCGCGCGTCACGGGGATGCAGCAGCCCCGCCCCAGCCGGCTCACCTCGCGGTTGCACAGCTCAACCCGCCTTGCGGGGGCTGGTCTCTGCGACCCTCCGCGGAGCTCTTCCGCCCCTCACCGCCGAGCGTTCAGACCGCCGACCTGGTGCCGTCCTCTACATCCTCGGTAGCCGAATCCCGATCTCTGTCGAGGCCTGGCGAGGATTTGCGAACCCTCTAAAAGCGGCCAGAGTCTGAACCCAGACTCTGCGTTCAGTTTTCGAACCCGTTTTAACGACACCAAAGACAACAAAAGTACAAATAGCAATAGAGAAAACAACACTGTGCCGAATATCTTCGTGGCGTTCTCATGAGATCCTCGCCGTTATTATTTCAACCCCCCCCTTTGTTTTTAATAACACTGCTTTTCCTTTCTCTTTTTTTAAATAAGGACAAAGGTTCTTCACAAGCATTGTTCTGATGGTTAAAACAAACCATTCTTCTCTGTCTACATTAAGATGTCCTAAATTCTTTCAGCCACCTTCAGTAGTCCTCTGAGATCCGCTGCACCGCTGTATGACTGAGGAAGTATCTCACTGCATATCCTCATCGTCAAAGAGATTTTCAAACTCATCTAAAAAGTTGGCATGCATTGCCTTGTCATTGGCTGCCAAGTCCATCAACGGCCTCGGCCTGTTCACGGGCCACTGCCCTCGGCAACATCTTGTACTCAGCCTACTTCATCTAGGCCAGCAGCTTCTGCTATCAGCCACTTCCGCCCCTATTACTTATCTTTTATGGAGGAGAGTGGTAAAGGTAAATCCATCACCTGCCTCAGCCACCTCCGGCCACTGCCCTCCAGCAACATCTTGTCTTCAACCTACTTCATCTAGGCCAGCAACTCCAGGTATCAGCCATTTCCGCCCCTATTACTTCTCTTTTATGGAGGGGAGGGGAAAAAGTCTAGAGAGGTGAAGTGATTTTCCCAGGGTCACTTGGTCAACTGGCAGAGCTGGGATTTGAAACAAGTTAGCTGACACAGAGTAGGAAGAGGAAACTGTGCTCCTATTAATCCACCCTTTATAGATGGAGAGACTGAGGCTCAGGGAGGTGGAAGTGACTTGCCCAAGAAGTGGAAGTGGTATTTGAACCCACAACTCTTGGCCCACGGGTGCTGACCTTCATTCCAAGGAGCTGTTGTACTCACATATGTCAAAAGCACCTTGACATCATTTTGACTTTCTTTAAGCAGCACCCAAGGGAAAACAGGTTACTGATCCCCATCTTAAAGATGAAAAAACTAAGGCAGAGACAACAATAATTAACAGGCATCCCCAGTCATGCATTTGTATGTGTCAGTTTGTGTTCTGAACAATCAACACGAATTAACTTGGGTAGTCTTCCCAAGAAGCCTGGGTGGCTGAAGCGGTTTGCAACTGGCTGCTTATTGAGAAGTTGGCAGTTCCAAAACCCACCCAGCAGCTCAGCAAGTCCTGCAGGAGAAAGACATAGCAAAGACTTAAAAAAAAAAAAAAAAAAAAAAACTGCCATAGAGTTGATTTCAACTCACAGCAACCCAGTAGAGTTTCCAAGGCTATAAATCTTTTCAGGAATAGACTGCCACATATTTCTCCAGGGGAGCAGCTGGTGGGTTTGAACCACAACCTTTTGATTAGCAGTCAACCATTTTCATCACTGCAACGGGGGCTCAGCCAAGAAAACCCTATGGAGCTCTTCTACTCTATAACACATGATGTCACCATGAGTCAGAGCCACTGGAGAGCAGCTAACAACAATGCTCACAATAACCCCATGGGGTACTACTGTTATCTCCATTTTGCAGATGAAGAAACTGAAACCTAGAAAGGCAAAGTCATTTGTCAGTGACTGAGCCAAGCTTTGACCTCAAGTATTCTGGTGGGGAAGAGATTGAAATCTATGACGCTAACTACTGTATCAAAATACCTCAAAATGGGTTAATTCATAAATACATAGGCAGGCAGTAACATAAGTTGGGACTAGGGCCTGGGAGTCCGCACTTTCCCTGTGACAACAAAAAGGACTTTCCTCTCTTCTCTTAATCCCCTGCCTAACATGTGGTTCCCATTAAACACACACACACATACACACCTACACTAAAGAAAACAGGAATACTTACTGAATTTGAGCCCCCCAAAGAACCTAGTAAGAAGCTCTGGTAGCACAGTGGTTAAAGCACATGGCTGCTAACCAAAAGATCAATGGTTTTACCCACCAGCTGCTTCATGGGAGAAAGATGCGGCAGTCGGCTTCTGAAAAGATTACAGCCTTGGAAATCTGTGGGGCTGTTCTACTCTGTTCTAGAGGGTTGCTATAAGTCAGAATCGACTTGACAGCAGTGGGAGTTTTGAGTTTAAAGGACTTAGTGAAAGCAGGGTGTAGGGTTGTTTCCTGTGATTTATTATTATTTATTTATTTAGGCCCAGATCCCCCTCAAAGTGTGAGTTTTTAAGGGATAATTACCTTCAGATGATAATGCTCACATAGTCAACAAATACTTAGGAAAAAGGCAAAACTTGTGGATCTTAAAGTGTTGAATTTTTTGTCTTCTATTTCTTATTTTTTTGTTTTGTTTTGTTTTTAAGGGGGAATAGATATTAATAGATATTTACCAAATAATCACACACAGAGGTAATTATTTACAGCAGTGTAAGAGCTGGAAAGAAAGTGGGCCTGGCCTTCTGTAGGATGGGAGCCAGGAGGGTTTCATAGAGGAAGGAGTTTTTGAGGCCAGATAAAATCAATGAATCTGGATTTATGAGGCCTGGCTTGTGTTCGAGGTTGAAGAAAACAGATTAGAAAAAAGACATACAGCAGGACAGAGCATGGCCATGAACCTAAAGATGGCCTGAGTGGCAGGAATCCAGAGAGAAAAACAGAAGGGACCCATCTGGAGAAGGAGGGGTGGCACAGACCAAAGCACAAAGGCTCTTGTCAATCAGAGGAGGGGTTTCAACTTGACCCTGAAAGCAGTGGGAGCCACTGAAGGCTTTTAAGCAGGGGAAGAGACATAGTCATTTTTTCCCATTTTTATCACAATGCTTTTTTCATTCATTCATTAAACAAATATTTATTGAGTAAGCATATGAAAAAGTGCTCAACATCATTAGTCATCAATAAAAAAAAAAAAAAGGAAAACCAAACTCACTGCTGTCATGTCAGATCCAACTCATAGTGACCCCTCCTTGGGTTTCTGAGACGGTATCACTACAGAAGTCGATTGCCCACTCTTCCTTCCTAGCCCTTGGTCATTAAGGAAATGTAAACAAAATGCAAATGGAATACTATTTCATGACTACCAGAATGGCTAAAATGAAAGAGTTAAACTACCAAGAGTTGACGAAGACATGGAGCAAACAGGACTTCCAACTCCATTCTTCCTGAGGGAAAACTGCCTTTCCCAGTGCTTATGAGGACTTTAAGCATAGCCCCATCGTTGGTTTAACTGTCAGCAAGCATTGCAGAAGTAATATAAAGAATTCAAATGGCCTCTAAACTTAGGTTAAGATGCAAAATGGAGTTAGATTCCCACAGTAGACCACAGCCTTCCCCAAACCAAAGGCTTTAAAATTTAAGCTGTAATGCATACCACTCCAGAAAGTTCCTTCATGCACTTTGTGGTCAATCCTTCTCTCACCCTTTGGCTCCAGCCAATCACTGACCAGCTTTCTGTCATTGTAGGTTAGTCTTGCCTGTTCTAGAATTTCATACACATAGACTCATACAGCTGTACAAGACAGGCCTGGTGGTCTACTTCTGAAAGGTAACAGTTATTAAAAACCATACGGAGCAGTTATGTTCTGCACACATGGGGTGGCCATGAGTCAGGACTGTTAAAAATATAATCATGTTTTAAATTCAAAAGAATAACTCAATATTTGATCTGTGATTTAGTAAACAATTTGCAAATTGAAGAAATGTTCCTTCTTGAAAGAGGAAACTGATTCCAGAGAATGGCGAATTCAAACTTAAATAACTTTTACTTAAAGGATGCAGGTTTCCATGGTGTGGTAGTTGTGAGTTGTGTGTCAACTCGGCTGGACCACAATTCTGAGTGGTTTAAGTAGTTGTGATGTGGTTATTCCCATGATAGATCAGATGTTTATGTTTTGAGCAGCCAGTCCGTTGAGAGGGAGATTCCCAAGGGGTGTGGCCTGCTTACAGTATATCTGTGGACATTCTGGGAAAAGAGACACTCTTCTGTGGATCAGGATCCTGTTGTGCTGCCTACAACTGTCCGTGAGCAAACAATCTACCATTCAGCCTGGAGATCTTGGATTCGTCATTTGTTGAAGTCAACAGCTGGTATACTGCCTGCCAACCTTGAGCTTGTCAGCCCCTGAAGCTGGGTGAGTCGGGAAAAGCCTCCAGCTTGATGTTTGATCCAAGAACTTGGGACTTGCCAGCTTCTGTAAGTGTGTGAGCCGTTTTCCTAAGGTAAATTTCTCTGTTTATTATATATATATATATATATATATATAAGCTTTACTGGTTTTGCTTCTCCAGTGAACCCAGCCTAACACACACGGTGATGAATACTTAATGCTTACTCAGTTAGATTTAAAAAGGTTATCTTCAGGGAAGATCTACCCCCCTCCACCAACCTGCAGTCTTAAGACCTCTAAATTATTAAAGTCCAGTCTTTCTCATTTAATCACAGGTTAAACAGGTTTTGTTATGGTCTGCTCTGGTGGCGTAGTGTCTAAGGCATTTGACTGCTAACCAGAAGGCTGGTGGTCCAAACCCACCAGCTACTCCTCAGTAGGAAGACTTCCATAGAGATACTGCCTTGGAAACCCAAGGAGGGGTCACTGTGAGTAAGAATCGACTCAACAGCAGTGAGTTTTTGTTTGTTTGTTTGCTC